AATCTTTATCATGCTAACAGGGTTGCCAGAATTAGCAAATAAAAATACAAGAACCTCAGGTACGTTTGAATTTCAGACAGAGAATTATTTTGTAGTGTAATTATGTCCCATGCAATAATTGGGACATACTTAACATTATAAGTCATTTGTTGTTCACCTGAAATTCCAATTTAGGTGAATGTCTTCTGTTTTATCTGGCAGCCTTACAAATCAATAAATTTGTAACCTTGAGCCATCTGTTTATCAAGTATTACACACTTAAATATGGTTAAATGTTTTTTAATTGGTATTCTAGAATATTCTGTGTAGCATTGAAACTCCAAAGGGTTAGCAAATTAAATTCGTTTATTCCTACAGTAATACAACTTAGAAGAGAGACAATTTATGTTATTGTCCTCTCACCTTGAGATCTAGCAGAATAAGTAGTCCTTTGATAAGCCTTAAATTTTTTTTTTCTTTTTTTTTTTGAGACAGAGTTTTGCCCATGTTGCCCAGGCTAGAGTGCAATGGCGTGATCTTGGCTCAATGCAACCTCTGCCTCTCGGGTTCAAGTGATTCTTCTGCATCAGCCTCCCGAGTAGCTGAAACTACAGGCATGTGCCACCATGCCCAGCTAATTTTTGTATTTTTAGTAGAGATGGAATTTCACCATGTTGGCCAGGATGGTCTTGATCTCTTGACCTCGTGGTCCACCCACCTCAGCCTCCCAAAGTGCTGGGATTACAAATGTGAGAGCCTTGCATTTTTAAGGTCATTCAAGATTATTGGTAACTCGTGTGCAAGTTCAGATTCTTTAGTGTAAACTTTGTAACACTCCTGATCATTTGTATGGTTAGATGATAAATATTTTGCCTCCGAATTTGAAATGATCATCCCTGTCTATATGTATATTGCCTATTGGGATCTGTCACAGTTTTTGTTTGGTTTACTTGAGGCATTTAATTTAAATGTAAAAAACTTACAATTGGGATATTATTTGTAAGAGAGGCCTTTTTTACTATGAAGTAAAGGCACTAGGACAAAATATTTTAATATTTAGTTTTGGTGGATCCTGTATTAATGTTCTGTGTATTCATTAGAAAAATCAAATTGTAGTTGATTGCTTTTGCCTCTCATGTAACCCTGGGTGGCTAAGTCAGTGGGTCTCAACCTGGCTGCATATCAGAAAACCTGGAGAGATTTTAAAACGCTTGTTACTAAGCCTTATGTCCCTGGATTTGTAACTAAATTGGGTCCTAGGAAACAGTATATTTAAAAGCTCCTCCGCATTGTTCTAATGGAGTAACTGGACTGTGCTACATGAGGACAGGATCTATTTCCCTCTTTTCTCTCCTCTCCTCTAGTTCTCTTTCAGTTGTTACTGGGCAAGTGAACAAACAACGCACTATGGAAGCAAATATAGGCCCAATTTTATAAACTGATTTCTACCTTAATTTACCCATGAATAATTTACGTTTGTCAATATAAGAATGTGGAGTTCTAGGAACGTCAGTCTTGATATACAAAATAGGTCAAACCTGGCATGAATTTGTGACTCAGCTGGATTTTGCTGGTACATCGAGGGAAGACAAGTCAAAGTGAGAACAGTGTTGTCTCTTAGAAAGTCCTGTTCTGTTTGTGGTTTTATAAATGCCCTCTTGTACATCTGGATTTTCTTGGAGTGTTTTAATTCCTACTAATCCTATTTTTTTTTTCCAATAAAGTGAAATTGTGTTAAATTTCTTAAAAATGCATTTTAGACTGGGTGCAGTGGCTCATGCCTAGAATCCCTGCACTTTAGGAGGTTGAGGTGGGAGAATCACTTGAGCCCAGGAGTTCAAGACCACCCTGGGAAACATAATGAGACCCCCATCTCTACAAATAAAAAATAAAAAATTAATCTGGTATGGTTGTGCACACCTGTAGTCCCAGCTGCTTGGGAGGCTGAGATGGGAGAATCACTTGAGCTCAGGAGTTAAAGGCTGCAGTGAGCTGTGATCACACCACTGCACTCCAGCCTGGAGCACAGAGTGAGTCACTGTTTAAAAAAAATTTTTTAATTCATTTTTTTTCCCTGAAAGTACATTTATAAATCTTTTTAAAAAAGTTATATTATCTCCCAATTTGGTGTTTGGAAAATATTATTGTACCCATTGTAGCTAGAATAGGTGAGTTTGCCAATTTAAATATGGAGGAAGGGAATAACCTCCATTTTAATATTTTGTATTTAAAAAGCAAGATTCCCTAAACCCTCAAATGCCATCTATTTTACATTCACTGTAGAAGGTGAAACTTTCAGCTCTAATTAACTGCTTGCCTAGAGCTAATTTTCCTTTAAAAACTTCCTGGGCAATAAATAGAATAGAAGAATATTAATTTCTTTCTGGCCGAAAGTTGGTCTATTCTGGCTCTCACAGGAGGGATATCACCTCTGTGGTCCTCTGATTTACGGCTGGGCCCACCTGCCACTGGCCTTCTTTCATCCTTTCCCTTCACTTCCTTTGCCCTAGCTTTGGCCCCACTGAGCTTTTGCTCTGGGACCCAGGTAGTGGTCACAGCGTTACTGATAGACAGAGAAGCTGCAAAAAGTTCTAATGGTGCCTACTTCCATAATTCTTCTAAATGCCCTCTTATATGAATTATGAAATATTTTCAGCACCTCAGAAGTAAGGCACTATGTAAACATAGGTTTCTTAAAAATTATTATTAGTTGTTGATTTGAGTTTACTACTATGTTTTAGGCCAGTGGCTTTCTGTATTATCAAATATTGTATCAGTGTTTTCTATCAAAAATAACTTTAAATTTTAGGGCTTTATACATGTGCTATTAAATTATAATAAGTAGTCTTCTTTTTCAATTACTTTTTAGCTTTCCATTTGGAGGCACAGTTGCTGCAGAGCCTGGTGATGCAGTACCTAGAAATAGAACTCTATTGGGATAAAATTATTTTGCTGTGTAAATAGGGCAATCTTTGATGCATACACATAGGAAAGAATACATTTTCTTAGCCAAAGGACAACAGGTATTCTCTATTGCTGGTTTTATTAAAGCAAAAAATAATTCTGAATCAAAAGCCTAGCCAGTACTAGTATATTCAGTTTTACTGTGGATCAGCACAGGTGAGCATCCTTTCTTCTGTTAGCAATGCCATTGCTTTCTCCAGCCCTGGCACAGTTGGTGTGTACAGTGAGTAAGCTGACTGCTGAAGGTCGAAGAAACTTTCTTTGTAGTCTGTTAAAGTTTTAAGTTGTTATGGAAGCATTTTAGATTGATATATGAAGCAGGGGTCTCAGGTTTATGACTTCCGAACTTTTATGAAAATTACATTTCTAAAGCCAAATACACATTTCTAAATTTAAGTCAAAATTGGAGACTCAGGTGAACTGGTATTGAAGTCATGTAGTTTTAGATGTGAACCATAACATCTTTTATACAGAATCTATGTGTTTACGTAGGAAATCATGGCCATTTTGATTTTTAAAAAAAGTAGTAAGGATAATTTCATAGGACTATTTCAGAGAAAAATCCTTAAAAAGAATCCTTCTGTGATATGTTTAGAAGCTAGTTTTGTTTCTACCAGTTTATATAGAGGGCATATAAGGAGGGGAAGGTGGTGGTCATTTTGCTTACTGAAGGTCACATTGTCAAAGCCATTCATAAAGTGCTTTTGTTTAGGCTGAGGGTGTTAAACGAGGAGAAAACATGTCTAAAATTTGTTTCAAGTGTTCAGAGCATCATAAAAAGAAAAACACACGTTGGGAAGACTGGCACAAAACAAAATGAAGTTTTGTTCCTTAATTTTGTTTTTGTGTTCTTGAGAAGGAGCCTCGCTCTGTCGCCCAAGCTGGAGAGTAGTGGCACGATCTTGGCTGACTGCAACCTCTGTCTCCAGGGTTTAAGTGATTTTTCTGCCTCAGCCTCCTGAGTAGCTAGGACTACAGGCGTGTGTCACCACATCTGGTGAATTTTTGTATTTTAGGTAGAGACGGGGTTTCACCACATTGGCCAGGCTGGACTTGAACTCCTGACCTCGTGATCTGCCCGGTTCGGGCCTCCCAAAGTGCTGGGATTACAGGCATGAGCCATGAGCCACCATGCCTGGCCTGTTTCTTAATTTAAGAGATAGCGTTGTAAGGCCATGCAATCACGGTATTAGAGTATTTGCCTATTACATCCTAGAGAACGTCCAGGGTCTCATTGGCACGTGTGACTTGGAAGGGATTTAGGATTACCTTCTTTCTCCTTTCTTCTCTGACTCTTTTCTTTTTTTCGCAGTTTGTGTTTCAATTTTTCATGTCAGTCATTGTGGGAAAGTGTATTTCCACAGTCCCCGTCACATTTTTGGTGTGTCTGAGCTGCCCGATATGCCTCCTCACTTGCTGCTGTCTATGTTGCATTTTTCCTACTTCTCTCAGTCCTTGAATAATCTTTCTGGATTAAGATTTTGCTAACTATATAAGTTCTGAGGTTTTCCAAATAGCTAGAACTGTTTCAGGTGTTGGGGATGTCAATTAATACACCTAGAATTCCTCTAACCTGAGAACAAAACCAGTAAATTCCAAAACTTGCCGTGCAGATGCCTTGGGTGAGTTAGGCTATGTCAGTAATTGGGATGAATGCTCCCTTTCCTTTGTCTGGGTCTCTGACGGGTGACTCTTGGTAAGGCTTGCTTATGAACTTGATTGGAATTTCTTTTGTTGTCAGCCAATGACCAACACTCAATGTGACCATTGCTTTCCCTGCTTTTGTAACATGGTGGCAGGAAGGAGGGAGGGAAGGAAGGCAGGAGTCATTGCCATGATGTGGACTGTGTTTGGAGAATGCAGAAACTCCCGATCCCCTTGTCTTTAACTTCCACTTACATCCTTTTATCCCAGCCACTAACAAGATATGTTTCCACGTTCACAGAATGTCCAGGGTTTGTGGATGTTTGTTTGTGTTATCCTTGAGAAATGTTCACTAGCACCTGCTTGGGGTGTGAAGGTAATTTCTATTCTATTTTCTGGTTTCTGAACTTCAGGAGAAGGTAAAGCTTGATGCTGAAAGGGAAAAACTAGAGAGGCTTCAGGAGCTTTACTCCGAGCAGAAGACCCAGCTGGACAATTGTCCTGAGTCCATGAGGGAACAGTTACAACAACAACTGAAGAGGGTCAGTAGCAAACAGGAATGCACCAGTTATTTTGCTTTCCTTTTTTGTTTTTCACTTAAGTGCCACTTACCTGTGACTTACTACTTCCTATAGCATAAGTTTGCATAAGTTCTAGTCGTTAGATACTTTTAAATGGAAAAATGCATGCTAACAGTATATATTATTCTATGCTAATCAGTTTTTTAAATTCCTTGTTAGAGTCCTTCACCTAATTTATAATGCAAAACCATTCTGGAGCCATTTTTTTGTGACAGAAGAAGCTATTTCTGATATGTAGTCAACATCGTCATAGCATTTCTATCAACTGACATCTTCCCCTGCGTTCTCTGCTGCTTCATGAGTCCTATTTACCCTTGAATATTTTTTTCTTTAGCTTGATTTTATACTCTTGTCCCAAAATTATTCTATTTTCTGATTTGCTCCCCACCAGCAAGTGTTTTGTTTTTCCTTTTCGTTCTGCTGCTTAGTGACATTTAACTAATTAGTCCAATCACAACAATTAAACACCAAGACCCAAGTTGCAAGGTATTACTAATACCCTCAACATCTCATGTGAGCTTCATAATTTTAAAGAACTTAATGCAACATAGACTTTCTTGTTAACCTTTGTCAAGTTATTCCCTGATCCTTAAGGTTGGCAGTGTTTAACACAAGCACACTGGTTATCTTCTGAAAGCAAGACTTCCTGGGTGGATAGTTTCACAAACACTGGCACAGCCACTTAATATTTCATAGTCTCTTGCCAGCTGGGTCATATCCTTTAAACAGCAGGCCCAATAAACTGCTTCCCTCTGGGGAAGCAGTCATTAACAGTTTTGGACATCTGAAAGAGTCACGTAATAGTAATTTGTCCTAAGTGAGTAACAATTTATGATTCTACCTGAATATAACAAGCTAGTTTCATCCACGTTTTTATGTCTGTACCTTTTTGGGAATGGGCATGTTGAAAAATTTATTGTCATAGCACATCCTTGAAAATTCTTAAGATGACCTTTAATACAAAAATATTTGCTACCTCTGAGAACATCACTAGGTGAAGGAAAATCACAGTTAAAACTTTTCAATGTATTGCAGAAATTGAGAGCATCTTAATAATGAGTATCCAGTGCAGCCCTTTAAACTGCAGCATAACAGTTTTAGTATTTATTTCTTGCAATGTTGGAGCAAAGAAAATTTTAACAGTGTTTCTTCCCTTTACTCCTTTTATTGTGTAAAGCTGAATTTGTTGTAAGAAGATGAAACTTCCTGCTTCTCAGTCACAGTTCTCTGAAAATTTTGTGATAAAAATGATTGGAAGAAAACTAGTATTTGTAAAGTAATTTTGGTTTGTAATTTGTTTGTGTTTATGCTAGTTAACAAAAGAGATGGGAAAACTGATTTATTTTTCCTATTTGCTTACAGTTTTTTTTTTTTTTTTT